GAGCATAGTACTGTCTCTACAAGACTGGTTAGTGTTAAAGATGATTTTACTGGAAGATTAATAATTGTCTTTCTTGTAGTTAATTCAGTATATTGCTAGTCGTTGAAGTATGAAAATTGTTGCTCTCTCTCTCTCTCTCTCTCTCTTTGAATTCCTTTAAATGATTGTTCAAATTTAGCAAATTGAACAGAGAAAATCGATGAGGTTGATTGGATCAATAATGTTTAGGACATTTCTTACGTTGTATCATGTTCTATTATAAAATTAATGCTTCAGTCAATGCTGTAAAATATAGCTTAAAGGCACTACGCAGCTTTATCTTTGCGTTGTGTTGCTGGGTGAATGATTTCACTACTGATGGAAGAGATTACTGTGTTTGATTGCCTACTGTGTTCTGCTCTGCTTACTGTGGGACTGATTCGTTTGTTATTTAATGAGTTATCAACATTTTTCCCCTATTTTTGGAAATTGAATATATCAATCCGCGTCTCTTCTTGTAACCAAAATACCATTAAAAATTTTCACGAGTCTTTCTCCTTTCTTAGCCTTCGTCGATATGTGTAGATTCACTTCTTTCCAGATTTCATTGAGCTGCTTTGAACGTGGAAAACTATATATGATGTTGCTTTAGAAAAAAATGCGACTATTTTTTATTGATGTGTGTATCCATTTTTAGTTATTTATTTCTTCTATTGCCGCATATCCTTTCTAATACCTCAGTTCAGAATGTTAAGTGTCTGTCATTGCCAATGTTGGACGTTGAAGAATAATTTTGCTATGCATCTTTTGAAGTTTTTCTTTATTATGTTTGATATGAATTTCGTTTACTGAATGGGTGGGTGTCTTCATGTTAATTTTTATCAAAGAGCAGGTCATTCAGCAATTTTGTTTTAAGTAGTAAATATTATTTTGGATCAGTTGCAATTTTGTTCCTATCATCTATCACCAACAAGACCACAATTTCTTATTAGAATATCCGACTTCTCTTAGTTTTCTTTTCTTCATTATCATCTTTCTGATATTTTTACTTTTTTTTTTCTTTTGTCAGTTTTTACCAACTAGGAAAGTTAAAGAGAGAGCCATAAAACTCCAGAGCTCTCTGACCAAAGATATGTTAACTAGTACCACGTCGAAGAATATACTTGCGATGACCTTTAGACAAGTAGTAATTCAACATCTTCGGAATCTTGAACTGGCAATTTTTAGACCTGGAACATTAAGAAACATGGACAACCTTGAAACTTCAAGAGAGGTGAAGTATCCCCTCTCTTCCTCCACCTACTGGATTATGAATATTGCATTGTGGCTATTGTAATATCATATTTAATGTGTCTGTTCTGCAGGTGCGATGTCATATTGATGGGTTGAGTTCTCTTATTCCCTTTCCTATGGGCAGGTACCTGCATCTTTTACCCTCACCTCAGTGGATGAAGAAGTCATTTCTGCGATTGCAGAAGTTATTTGCCTTGCTTCCCTTGAAAACACCGAGAGAAACTTCTATCATAACTCAACAAGCAGAGCATCAAATAAGCTTTTCCATTGGTTTAGCAAACCTAAACAGATTATATCGCGAGATTCAACTGTAGTTCTGCACAACTTCCTCGAACATGAGATCCTTGCAAATGCCAAGGTTCTGCTAGAAAAGTTTAGTTCAGAAAGAGCAAAATATAAGCTTAAGGAAATGAAACTGAAGAACAGTCTGTTAGCATCACCAGCATACTCTAAACTGGAAAAGATGGGTGGTTCTGAGTTTGGTGCTTGGATAAGTGAATATGTACCTTCATACAGGCTGCAAATTTATGTAGGTAAACTTAGGGACGAAAAGTTCACTGGGTGGAACAAATCTGCAACTAAAGTCTGGGAAGTTATTCTTACCCACTCCCAAATGGTATATTCACCTCTTTATTTTATTTTTTCTTAATGCTAGGGTCATTATAATCTGCAGTGAAGATGTATTCTGAACTTTTTCTTTCCATTGATATGTAGGTTGGATTGGCTGACATACTCGATATGTACTATGAGGATGTGTATACACTGCCTGATAAGAAGTTTCCATGTCATACAATTGCAAAGTCTTCTAGGTTGTCCCGCAATGAGGTATCTTTGTGAATTCCTCTTTTCATTACTTTGGTGCCTATTTCTGGTTAAAAAATGAAATCATATACCATTCCCAGTCTCTCAATCATTTTTCACTTTAATTTTTTTCTATTTTATCATGAAGATTGCTGTCTTTGTTACAGGGCAGTTCTCTGTTGAAGATGTTCTTCATTGCTCTTGCTAGTGGGGTTTTCCTTGTTTCCATCAGTATTCTTAGTGAACTTTCTCTGCCTTATCTGCCTAGCAGAAAGAGGTTTATTCAGGAAAATTGTCCACAGCATTCATCTCATATTAGCTGTGTCCAGCATCAGTTTATGAACTCTTCTAAGGTATGAGACTATAACAGTATTATTATGTGTTGTCTGATTGTACTTCAGGCATCGTATTATTCTGTGATTGACTTCTTTTTTCTGTTTTGTATTATAGTTCAGTGCTTTGGTGGCTATTGTGCATGGAACTAAGAATTATATAGACCAATAGACTGTCAATTTCTTAAATAAACTTTGAAATTTTATTCGTCTTGTTCAAGATTTCTGAACAATTATTGATAATAGTAATTCTTCTATTTGAGTCAATGGCCTGTGCGCATCTTTTTTTTTTATAACCGTGGATGTCCGGACCAGCTTGCGCGCACCTCTACTAATCCCACGGGACCCTGAAGTTTACTGCCGAGTACTCACCTCAGTGGCCCTGAGGGGACTCGAACTGGTGACCATTAGGGAGCAAACCCAAGGTCTGACCAATTGAGCAACCCTTCAAGGTTAACAGCCTGTGCGCATCTCAAACTATATGAAATAATTTTTACGACATTGGACGTTTAGTTGGTGTCCAGCTTGGCCAAATGAATGAAACTATGTTTATGATGCCATTTTTAAGTTTGAATTGCCTTTCTAAATTGTATTCTTGTATTTGAATAGAGTTTGGCTTGATGACATGTGGGCTTGGTAGGAGATAATAAGCCACAACACTGGTTGCTGAGGTGAAAAGATACCTTCTGGTTCCGATAGGGAATGTAATGTCAGAGATATCAGCAGGCTTTATGTTGGCCGCATTAACAATGCGTTCTACTTTCCTAGCATATTTCTGATGTTTGCTTTTTATTATTAGTTGGAAGCTCACTGTGTTACAATAATTAGAAGAATCAAGGGTTCTTTTGGCTGGCCTAGTGAAATAATGACGGACTCTAATCGTTGTGCATGGACTGGAGAACTCCCAATATATCTGAGGAAGGTGGATGATATTGACACCACTGCTTTATCCTCTTCTCAATTGTCAGAAGCAACCGATGAAGAGGCAAAAGCATCCTTACAAGATATTGCTAGTTATCAGGTAGTATTGCTAAAACTCTCGTGCATTCTGATTCCTTTATTTCTCAAAATTTGATCGAATAAATGGGTAAAATATGGAATTAGTAACTATTATAGGTTTGTGCAAGTATGTATTACTCAATCTGCAAGTTGATAATCTTCATTAGAGGCTCATTAGTTAGTACATGTTATCTATACTATTTATATGTCAGGGTGGGTTTTTGTTTTTTGGGTGGGGTTGATAAAGACTAAGCAGGATAGAGTGGCTTTTTGATATGTGTCTGGTCATGTGGCATGGAGCTGCCAGCTATCATAATCATACAGACCTTTCACGGCCATTAAACACTTTGCAAAAAATCCCAGTTGTTTGGTTCTGGAACCCCAATTTTGGAAGAATTCAACTTCTAGCTATAAATAGACGTCAGCCTAAATTGTCGTACGAAACATTGCTGTTGACATCACAATGCCGTACATAGTCTAGAATTTTTAAGCATGATACTAGTATGTGATCATATTTTTTGACTTGCTTTCTTCTTCGTTCTGAGCAGGTGGTGTTGTCATCTGATGGGAGTATCATAGGATTTCAACCTACTAGTCGTGTTGCAGTTAATCATTGGGCAGCAAACCCGTTAGCTAAAGAGCTTTATGGTGGAAAAAATCTTTCTCCAGGTGAATATTTAATTTCAACTATTTTGAGTTATGCATAATGCTCAGTTGTTTACTCAACTCCGGAAGACATTTTCATGCAGGCTTTCTAGAACCAGGTCTCAAGATCAGCCATCCAAGTGAGGTGATTGGATTGAAACTGTTGATGTCAGTAAATCCTGATTCCTATTTTGCATTCGTCCGGCCCATTGATATTACTGGGAAAGGTAATTGATAATAGAACAAGAAATCAGTCAATTCTTTTGAATGGGAATCTTCGTCACCAATGCATGCTAAAACCTCCAGTTAATTCCTTCGATTCGTAGCATCCCATCCAAGTCATTGTATGAGAAATTTTATGGCTTTCTCAGTTTCTTGTTCACCAACAAGTTAACTGATCATAAGAATTAGCTGCAGACTCGAGGAACTAAAGAATCCACGAGGAAGCACGTCAAACGATATCAGTAGTTGTGGACACCTAGCATACAAGCAGAGTCAGATAGAAGCATGTAAACAAATTTTTTTTATTTTTTGTAAATTCTGTCGTTTTGGTTTCTTCGAGATCTACAGTTACGTGGAAATTATGAGTTACATTATTTGATTTTCTACAAATTATGTTCACGAAGGAGAACTGAATAAGAAGTTGGCATTTTACGCCTAGAATTCAACATGTCACGAATAATGGACTTAAATTCGTTCAAATCAAGCATGCACAAGAAATTATGAAAGATTATATACCATATAGCAGCCCTAATCTCCTCCCTAGTGGGCATGATTAAAAAAAAAAAAAATCGCTGTTAATGTGGCAGTAGATCAATTCGGTTCACTAAACAAACAGGGCTTCATAAATTATGATTGTCTACAGCCTTCACAGTATCATACAAAAGACAACATAATTACAGCACCAAGTAGAAACTAGTCGGAGCCATGAAACTGAAAATGGTAACCATTCTATTCCATTGTCAATTCATCTAAATCTGCGTGCATGAAAACACAGGTAAAAGTCAGTAACTGTATTGCTTCTGAAGCCATACAAGTAGCACCAAAGTGAAATGTGCTGGACGTGCAATGCGTAGAAGGCCTAACCCGGCCATGCCGTGGACTAGCCAAACCCTACAGTTGGAAGATTCCGAATATAGGGGCTTGTAGCATGACGACTTGCAGACCGGTTTATTAATAACATCAAAGTATGAGAATTGTGAAAAGAAAAGCCGGACAAACTGAAGTACTATAGTCGGACCCTTACAGGATCGATCAAGCTCGACTCTAGGGGCTTGTGACATGTTCGGACAGTGCTGGACATCCCTATTATTGAAAAGTGAAAAATATCAACGAGACCTGAAAAATAAAGTGGTATCACAATATTAAAAAGTGAAGACTAAAGGGTGATGATGATGATGAAATACCAATTCAATAGTTCTGTCATCTGCAGGTGGTGGAGTAAAAGTCCTAGCCAAGTAATAAAGAGCACCATGCTGAAGAGGCTGAAGCGTAACCCCCCATTCATTGGTCAAAACAGGCTGACCAAATGAGTGTATGAGCACTGCATCATCACCAAATGCCTCCTTAACATTGAATAATTCTCCTAATTCAACCTCAAAGCACACATCATTGATGAACACCGTTGACTTTGTGGGACCCCCTCCTGATTCCCCTACACCTGCACCATCACACATCAGATCACCGTCACCATAGATATATATGTCTTTCTTGCACTCCATATGTGAAACTTAAATGCATTGCATATGTACCGTGTAGGGTTGTTCACAGCAGAAAACAATGCAGAAGTCAATTTATGCATAGCTTCTCAGGGACAGAGAACACAATTCGCGGGCAATAGATAAATCTATATATACTTGTTTGTTTCGAAATACGAGATAAGTGCACGCTTGCACCTTTTGATACAAAGCGAATAATATAATGAACAAAATTTTAGCTTAATATAATGTCAAGTGCTATACAATCTTCCTCAAAAAACAAGGCGTAACGTAACCTGCGAACCTATTTGTAGATGCTGATGCTGTCATTACGTATGAACATAAACGAAATTTCGTTCTTGTTTTCTGTTCAGGAATCTTCTTCTTTTAGCTGCTTTGCACGAAGATCTATATGAAACTTAATACTAGCTTAATTATCATAAACATTTGTAACGGATGGCATAAAAGTTAATGTCATGGAAAACATAACCCTAATTTTTCTTCTCGAAAAATAAAATAAATAAATACAAAAGAAGTACCTTGAATTTGATTCATTGGGGATGGAACACAAAGAATAAGAGGAACAACATTAATGGCCTGTGTAGAATTTGGTGCTGTAGTCACGCTGTACTCAGTTGTTGCTGCAGTTTCATCTTCTCGTGATCATCCTGATTAGCCTTTTCGGATGGCTCGTGATTCATCGGCATAAGTTCACTGAGTGAGAGACTGGAGCAACAATTTCCAGCCGTATGATCTGTAACATGATCAGATACATCTGGAAAGCAAAACCCTTGTGTAAAAGCAGCAGTTGATGGGCCTTCTGAGGGTTGTTGCACCGGAAAAATGTAGGGTTCCGCCAAGAACTCGTTGGGAGTTCGGAAAATCGATTGGTTGGCTGAACCAGTTGGAGAATTGGATATATCCATTAGAGGACTGGAACAAACTGAGAAAATCATCTTTTCTATGGAACTCGGAGAATATTTTACGGATGGTGGTAGAATTGAAGAAGTGGCAGCCATGGTGGTGGTGACAGGCGGCGCGTGGTGAGTTTGTGACTTGGTGTTATGGAGTTGTCTGTTCTTCTGTTTGCTTCTTGATTTTCTGTTCTGAAACCAATAGAAAACATTGGCATCTCCAACTTGGCCATACTGTTGCAATTGAGCCCTAATTTTTCTTATTTCATCCCTTGGAGGATTCACCATTCCTGAGTTGAAAATGGCTTCCAGTATGCGGATTTGCTCGGGTCTCGGGTTCCATCTCGTCTTAGGTTCAGGACTTCTCTCTTCACTTCCGGGCACTATGGAATTATCCAATGTTAGAAACAATAAACAATTTAAGACAGAAATACTGAAACTAATAATAGAACTCTTATGCAAATTACCTTTCTTACTGTTTCTGCTACAAATTAGTAATAGAATTCACATCAAATCCCATGATTGGTGAAGTATTGAATTAATGGAAAAGTGAAAAGTGAGCTTTGAACATTCAAACTGATTTTTCCAGGTTTGGAAAAAGTGAGAGCTTCCTCTCGCCAGACTTTTCATTCTGAGTTAAGAAGATGCGAAAGTGTGTTTATCTTTTTAAAAATGGTGCATTTTGAGATGTGAAGTAGGAAATAAATGGAAAAACTACTAAATAAAAAGAAATCATGTGATTGATAAAGTCTAGAACTAATAGAAAATTAAACTTTATTTGAACATTCGAACAGGTTTTAAGGCTGCCAAAGCCAGTTTATTTCGAATTCAGAAAGTGTGTTTATCTAATTATCTCTCTAAGAATTAAGAACAATGCCTTTGGAGAAGTAAAGTTGGAGATGCAAGCAGAAACGAGTAAGAAAACAGAAATTTATCGAACAAACTGCAATCCAAAAGCAAAATTGTGTGAAATTAATTACCTGATGTGTATGGGGTTCTGTGGCAACCAGTTGATATGAGAGAGGAGATGATGTCATGCTGCCATTCGGGTTTGGACTTGAACATGCTAGGCCAATGTCTATTTGATGAAGCCATGATTCTGAAATGACACAGTTTGAAGCTGAAAATGTAAGAGAAAAACAACCTTAAATTTGTTGCTAGCTTTTCCATGAAAATCTCTACATGGATCCCTTCTTATAGACCCCTCACCTGCTGCTCCTGTTTTCAGTTCAATAAATAAAATAATAAATATTTAAAAAAGGCAGTGACACAAAAAAATCGCACGTAAAATTATAAACTAAAATGGAAAGCATATTAAAGGTAGAGTGAAAGTAGACAGAGATTACGTACATGCATATGCCCATACCCTTCCTCATAGAATTGCACAGTACAAGCAAATTCCCGGAGAAGAGAAGCAAAAAGCACACTGAAATAAGCACTTGTTGTGGCTTATATTAGAATGTTAATCAGAGATGACAGTGAGAGTCCTTAATGCAACAAAATGGTTTACTCAGTTTGTGGTTTGTTTTTACATTATCATTCGCCGGTTTCTATGGAAAGGAGGGCTCTCGTTAAGTTATGTTTTGTAAGGTGGATTCGAGTATATATATATGTGTGTGGTAAATAATAACGTATGATATTGTACACAATTCGAATTTGGGGGAAGTCACAAATTTACATATCCTTTCGCTAGATGAATGATGATCAAGAATAAAACGCATAAAGGGTAGTTATTTATCCTTATATTGTAATTTTCATTGTATAGTATTTTAATTAATAAACTTACTATGTGATGAAAAGAAAAAAAAAATATGATTATTGTAATTTAAGTAATAATTTTTAATGCCAGTACTTGTGACTCTTCATACCTCATCCAACATGTGCAAACACTGCAAGTTGTTCAATTATGATATTTTTTTTCCCTCTTTCATTGCCTTTTCTTTTGTCTGCAACAAAATGGAGATTGACATAATTCACCCATATTCTTCTTCAACTGATTGAATACTATTTCTTTAACTCCTGTGATCTCATGGGTCATGTGCATGTTAACTGAATATGAACCATTGAAGTTGGGATATGCTGTCTCTGGTAGCAATTGGCCGAGCTGAGCCTAGCCTGGCTCGTGAAATTTTCTTCGTTTCGATAGGATTTTACATCGACTCAAACCGAGTCAGACTCAATATGTTCTAGTTTGGTACCCTCCAGTTTTTATAAAAAAACAAATCATAAAGTTAGACTGAAATTTTCTAATGACAATTTCATACTTTATGTTTCAGGTGAAAAAATGTCAATTATTTTTAATACGTATTGAAATTACTTTTCATCATGCATTTCTTTTGCAAGCTATTTCTATTTATGTTGACCTTTGCATTTTTTTCATGGTCATACATGTAAAGAAAGTATTATGGTCACGTTAATTTTATTATGCATGCTTCGAGAGAGGGAGGAGGGGGGATTAATTATTTTATAAATCAAGGCATTTGCTATGAAAGAAATCTGGTGCTCTCAACCTTTTTTTTAGCATAATACATTCTCAATCTTTCAATTATATAGCAAAACTCATTATTCCTTTCATTTTCATATTAAATGATGGTGATCTTACCAAAAATCGTCACCTGTTGAATTCCGAGCTTGATCACATAGATGTTCACGAGCAAGATCTTTCGGTACCTAAAACAAAGGCGTCGAGGTGTGTCCTCGTCGCCCTTCCGATTCTTAAGTCAGATAGGGAAGTTGAGAGAATATATGCTGAATATATGTGTTACTATGTGATGAAAAGAAAAAAAAATATGATTATTGTAATTTAAGTAATAATTTTTAATGCCAGTGACTCTTCATACCTCATCCAACATGTGCAAACACTGCAAGTTGTTCAATTATGATATTTTTTTTCCTCTTTCATTGCCTTTTCTTTTGTCTACAACAAAATGGAGATTGACATAATTCACCCATATTCTTCTTCAACTGACTGAATATTATTTCTTTTACTCCTCTGATCTCATGGGTCATGTGCATGTTAACTGAATATGAACCATTGAAGTTTGGGTTATGCTGTCTCTGGTAGCAATTGGCCGAGCTGAGCCTAGCCTGGCTCGTGAAATTTTCTTCGTTTCGATAGGATTTCACATCGACTCAAACCGAGTCAGACTCGATATGTTCTAGTTTGGTACCATCCAGTTTTTATAAAAAAACATATCATAAAGTTAAGACTGGAATTTTCTAGTGACAATTTCATACTTTATGTTTCGGGTGAAAAAATATGTCAATTATTTTTAATACGTACTGAAATTATTTTTCATCATGCATTTCTTTTGCAAGCTATTTCTACTCATGTTGACCTTTGCATTTTTTTCATGGTCATACATGTAAAGAAAGTATTATGGCCACGTTAATTTTAAATGATGGATTTTTCCCTTTTTCTTTAAATAAATAAACACAAAAGAAAGCAGTAAAAATTCATAATAAAAAGAAAGCAGTAATTAAATAAATATTAACACATAATAAAATAAAGAAAATATTCATATTCTCCAACCAAGTCCATCCACAAATACAATAACGCTAGCTAGATCACCCCTATCCAATCCTTGTGTCCCTCACAAATGCTTTATGCCCACATCCGTGCAGAACCAATTTCTCGAATTGCTGAAAAACCACACAAAATCTTCAAATTTGTGTACTGTACCGATCGATCCGTTAAACGATAAGGCAGGAAAAGAACCCCAAAAATCCATTCAAGAAATAGGATTAACAAAAAAGAAAAAAGTGCCCAGAAAATGGCTCTCTGTTTATCAACAGGAACTGCAGTGGCGTTTTACAGAGGGAGTAATTTTAGCGGTCCATCAGCTTCACTCTCTCTCCTCACTGGTTCAAGAACTGGAGCCCTCAAATTGAAAGCCAAGGCAGCAAATTCTTATAGGATGCTCCTTCACTCAGTCTTTTTCTTGTCTTTCCCTATCTTCGACTTCTTCATTTTCTGGTAATATTTTAGGTTTTGCCACTTTTTGTTGTTTGATAATTCAAATTAATTTGATGTTTATTTAGTAATATTGTGGACAAGTAATGGGTTATGCTTAAAATCATGATATTTGCAGTTTTTTTGAAATTTTTTTTGTAATATGTTTATTTATTGGGATAGGCAATTCACTGGTAAATTAGTGGTTTCTTTGTGCCAATTATACTGGTAGAAATCAATGAATGTAAATGGATACATGTATTAGGCCTTCCTGATATAAACCACGATTAGGGGATCGTGTTCGTGCCTGAGAAACATATTGGTCTTCTTTGTTATAGTGAAAACTTGCAGTGTTACGAATCTGAGTGAACGGTTATAATTTGTGTGTTGCTGGTTTATTGCTTTCTTAATAAGGGATTAGGCCTTAATTCCTAACAATTATAAGAAGTTTGAGAACTCAAGCTTAATGCAATAGCATCGGCATTCTACACACAACCTGATTAGTGCTAACAGACCTTTCTTTAATATTTAATGTTTACAAGCTTGGAAGATTTTAGTAAGTTCAAGAATTGTTATTTGTGATACTTTAATTCGCAGGATCATCCTTGAGTTTGGACTTGAATTCGAGCACTGGAGTAAGTGTTAACAAAAGGCGTGGCTTAGTAGTGAACGCAAAGAAATATGCTCTTTGTCAAACCAAGAGGAACAGGTCAAGGAAGTCACTTGCTCGGACACATGGCTTCCGAAAGCGTACGAGTACCACCAGTGGATGAGCAGTAATCCAGCGCCGACGTGCCAAGGGACGCTGGGTGGGCACTGGGTGCTGTGCCCAAAAACCAACCGTAGCAGCGGTAAACGTGTTTGATTTACATAGGTAATGCTATGGTTAGAGTATGTGCATTTTGATGTCTCAGTTGTTTCTTTCGTTCTTATAAACTTAATTCCAGCAATTCTCATATTTATCATTACATGGAAAATCTTGGGCAGAATATTTATGTTCAGAATGAGAAGTAACAAAAGAATGTGGTTTCTTTTTTATAACGATTCGAGTTGCAATTTACACTGATGATTTGATTCTTCCCACAATTGTACATACTATTACCATTTACACCACACCAGTTGCACACAACACTCAAATTAACTTCTAATTCAAGATCATCTGTTATATCTAGTGTAATTAAAATGCTACTTGTACACAATGTATTTACATACAGATGAAGTATCAAAAAGAGGGGAAGTGTTTTTTTTTTTTTTTTATCCTTTCGGTAGAAGAAATTCTGACCCAATTATGTTCATGTAGCACAATCGGTAAAACTTTATCCAGTAACATTGAAAGAGTCTAAGACCATCTCAAATGTGAATGGCCACCCTAGGTGGTATTTAATTAAAAAGGCTTCTAATTTAAGTGGCAATAGATATCTAATGAACGAATGAGGTTCCTATTCTTTGGGATATAAAGTAACTGGATCCCCATTCAGACACGAGTTTTGTACACAGAAGAATTCATGAAATTTCAAACTCAAAAAATCTTTTATTATCTCCAATTCTTCATACTCTGCCCTGATTCATCTGTTTCTGCACTAACTTTTCAGAGACAATTGCAGGTGATTGTTCATTCCATTGAAGACTTCAATGCCAAAGCAGCAACTTCCACCTTATGATTCCCTGAGCAAAATAAAATGCACCATTAGATGTCTAGATGCTGTGAAAAACATATAAAAACCATCCTAATTCAAAACTGAATTATGTTTCCCGTCCACGCGTTTAAGAGAGACAAAAGGATGTTCTGGAAGATGAAGTCTATTCCCTCAGCGTTTCACTGGCTGACCTCAACCTTCGTTATTTTGAGTCGCAGCAAAATTCTTCAGTCTACCAGACGAGTTTCATTAAGCTTCTGGCTGCCATTTCATAGAAAAACTTCCAAAACAGAAACCCATAGATGAATCGTTTGTTGGGATTTAGACCAAAAAGATTGGAAAACTGAAACCCTGCAAGCATATAAAATAACTCAAATAAGGTCAAAGAAACTCTATAAAAACTAAAAGGATGATTAAAAACCTGTGGAAGACGTCCAACAAGGTCAATGCTTTATTTTTGTATAAAGATGATCCCCATACATCCCCAAAGTGCTTTGCTTTATTTTACACCTTAGTCCTTCCAAGACTCTATCATCTATTACTGAAAAAAAGTGCCTAAGATATCTAATTATCATCTATAAATATTAGAAGCGGACATTGAATAGCTGATGCACATTTCCCATGTAAAAATATACAGCAGTTGTTTATTCACACATCATTGTACCTAAACAAATCTTGAGAGCTCTTTCCAATCTCTTGCTTAGCTCGAGTCGGTGAAGTCTCCTCAGTTCTAAATGCTGAACGCGAATAGTATTTGCAAGAAAGGTAACTGTGCTTCCTTTTTCAGACTCCAATAAACATCTTGTTGAAGTTGCAGACCAAGAAATAGCACCATACAATATACATACCGCTCATTATCCTATCTCACGGTCTCACTCGAGCTTCAAAACATATCAGCCAAGAGTACACTGAAGCAGATGCAGAGGCCTCGTCAAAGAAAAAAGCTGTTCTGCACTATAAACCACATCATCCATCAAAGCTGGAAACCATCACCATACCATACTGCAAATTCAGGACCATGGTGTCAAATTCCACAAGATTTTACAGAGATCCTCGACAACTTTTGCCACATGGATCATCCCTGAATTATTAAGTCAAGCATGGGATTCTACAACACAAAACAAGAAATGAAACCATTGTTCCATTTGTGATATCCAGGAAATCTAAGATCAATGTTTGTTTCTCACAAAAGGGGAAAAAATAGAGCATAAATTTAATCTTGTTGCCCATTTAGGAATAAAAAGCTTAAGTGCAAAAACCCAAAAATACCACAGCCGTGTAGGACAATTAAGCAAAAAATAACTACTACATTTCCAGAAATTTAAGGATCAGCAACTTTGGCTCACAACAATAAGGAATAGAGATTATGCAGTCCAATTTTACAACAATTGTAACTATTTGAATATATAATTAATGTCCCAAATTTCTTTGGTAGCAAAGAAACCCCTAAGCCACCAAGTTGAACCCTTAGCATCCACACCACCAGTCTGACCTTATAAATCAACAATAATGAAAAAAAAATTCAAGGCATGCAACATCAATGAAAAAAGAAGTGTTCAACCTTTTCCCCCATTAACTTATGTCCAACTAACAATTCTTTTTTCAGGTAACCAACCGACACATCCTTGTGTCCCTTTTCCCAGTTTTCTCAGTTCTAATATGAAACCAAACAATACATTTAACATTTCAAACATATTTATCACTGCCGACAATCTTTAATAGTTTATGAATGAGAAGCCTGACATTGGACACATGCACCATAGCTTGCATATAGCAAGGCACCACAGAAAGAACCATCATAATTCAAAATTGTAAATTCTACCAAGTAAGTGGCGCCAATCCCAAAAATTACTAGAAGACAATTTTAGCAGTGAAAATAATGAAAGCAAGGTTCATGAGATCCCTGGATACTTAATTTAATCACTGCAACATAAATATCGCCACTCTATGATAACCAAACAGTAAGCCAAGAAAGACGAATTTTGAGAGAGAAAACTACCACTAAGCTTCATTTCATGTCCAACTGAATCATACAAAATAAATTTGCATTTTACATATCAATAAGTGCTGCAAGTAGAGCTCAATGAAGTTCAGTGTGACAACATGACCCTGAGAATTAGAAATCATAATGTAGAAAACATATAAAAGACTAATAATCATTCATCAGCATCAGGTTAGATGAGAGATGAAAAGCCACATAAATGTAGTTCAAGGTCATTAAAACAAGAGATTACTCATTGGTTCACCTCATCCACATTATGCACTCAATATTATATACTAAGTTAATAGGGTACACACATGATGCTAATATGGTCATAATTCAGAGTAAATTACAAAGAGATATGAAATTTAATTTGATCTCCAAACTCCAAAGGCATTTAGGAGGCTTTGCTCTGTCTTCCAAATGGAACTGTGAGAAATCAGAATTTTCTTTTTAGTTTCACCTTTTACATTTAAGAACATTAACACCATGCGACAAAGGTGCCAAATTTGAAGAAGTTCAAAATACTATAAACCATATATGTGCACCCATGATAACTTTCAATACTCATTTGAGAACACTGCCAACTTTACATATTTGGAAGCAAGAGAATGATTCTTTTAAAACTTCTCTCTAGTCTCTACTCAATCCCTATACGGATGAATATGATTGAAAGCTTATAGAAGAAAAAAGGTATTCATAAGAAAAGCAAGAGAAAAAGTATTCATTAATCATTAATAAAAAGAGCTGAACTTTAATAACATGTTCACTTGTAATTCCATGTTTTAGCACTTTTAATCCAAGCATAGATCGCTTATAGTAGTGAGTTAAGATTGATTTGATTTCAAGTGAAGTAGAAACGGAGGTCAGAAAAAAGAGAGTATCAATCTCACAGGATAAGATGTAGAAAACCAAATAACAAAAGATTTTTTTTTTCTTTTTTTTCTTTTTTTGAAACAGATTTTTTTTCATGCAAGAGGTGGGTTGGGGTGGAATGGTTTTCTTTTTTTTTTTTTTTGGACTGTATATGTACACAAATGGCTTCAAATTTTTATTCATTGAAAAGGGAAAACATCATCTTTGAATAGTTTCAGATCTGTTTCCAACATATAAATGATTTATTAAGCCAAGGGAAAAGAATGGAGATCATTCCCATTATGCCACTTTCCATGTGACCAAATACAAAGATACGTCATCTTTGAATATTCTCGTTCAGAAATTTCCTCAACATTAATTATTGCAATATAACTGGAAAAGAATGGAATCAATTCCATTGTGCCAATTTTCACATCATCAAATGCAAAGATATAGGTCTCGGCTCCTTTAAGAAAAGGAGAAAATCATGAACCCACATATAATCAAGGATTTATTTATTTTTTTGATGCAAAGTAGCACCTGTAAAATAGCAATTCATAGCCAAGCAAATTGGACACTCTCAGATACCACAGTAATATATCAAGTAGCATATTTGCCAAAAAGGCGTACATGATAGGGTACCAAAAAACTTAGAACTTGTAGTATCAGAAGTAGAGCAAATTTTCAAACTCGTTCTTCACATAATACAGCAATTTGTTCCAACAAAACAAAGTCTTCATTGTAGCAAACAACTAAGATGTCATAAAACCACAACTTATAGGAGCAGATAGAGTAGAGTTGAAGCAGCCACAGATCTCAAGCAGTCCATTTATCAGCCAAAGATTTTCATAGTCTGCAATCACTTAATCACCACTACCATTTAAAGCATTTGCGCCCAAGAAGCTGTCAAAATACCTGAACAGACACCCATGCATAACTCAATCCATCAATGAAAATTCAAAAATAATAAATAATATTTATGGTAAAGACATGAACCGTGTTAACTAAACATTTATTATGAACATATTAAATCAACATTCTAGCATCTGAATATTAACTTCAATTAATGCATCCTTACTCTCTGCAACTTCCACGATTTCTTCAGAGCAACAACAGAAGCCTCTTGTATTTCAGTTTGTGGAGGGTTATGTAAAGGAGTCTCTAATCTTTTTGGGACTTGAGAAGAACGAAAAAGGAGAATGGGTGAAGGGCTTTATCTCACATTATAAAGAACCACTTGTCCATCACAAAAGAAGGAGAAGGATGTCGGAACCAAGATTCCAAATATTCACAGGAAGAGGTAACAGTAACACAATGCATGTAAAATACCTCATAACTACTATTATAACATATACAATCCGATCACACCCAATCTAAATAAAATTTTATTGTACGAATATAACAACATTAACCGTCACCATCTATAAAATATGATAATAATGTAAACAATGCTATCTAACACAATTACCTCAATAATAGGGTGGCATACCCTGGTACGGTGGAAACCTCGGTCCTGGACCAGGACCAGGACCAGGCTGGTTCTGCTGTGATGCATATGATGGCTGAAGCCCATAGTTCCCGCCATCTGGGTACCCCCCGGAACTCTGTACCCCGACATTACTAGATGACATTCTGTAGCCTCCATTATTGCCCAACCCTCCAGTTCCACCAACAGGTCCAGGTCCAGGTCCAGCAACTGCGCCACCGCCACTGCCACTGCCACCATAGTGTGACGGACCACCTCCATACCCACCACCATAACCTTGCCCACTTAGCCCTCCAGGGCCACCGATAGAAGTACTAAAACCCGGGTTCTGATGCATAATCCCAGCTTGTTGCTGTGGTTGAGAAATGTTTGGGCCTGGTCCATACCCCATATAACCACTTCCTTGCCCATAATTTGACCCAGGTATTCCAGAGAGACCAGTATTTGGCATCCCAGGTACAACTCCACCTCCAGGCCCCATATTCGGCTTCTGCCGTTTATTATCTGTTGCTAATTTACAAACCACTTGGTGCCCATCAATAGTCTTCATGGGATCAGCCAACGAAGCATTTGCACCCTCCTCCGTTTTGTAAACAAAAAACGCAAAACCTTTTGCCTTCCCAGTCTGCTTATCAAAGCCTAGGGGTCCCTCCTCAATCTCACCGTACATCGAGAAGTGCCCCAACAATCTCTCTGAGGAAATCTCAAACGGAATATTGCCAACATAAATCTTCCTCGTTGCAATGTCAGTCGAGCTCGAATTCCCCGAACTGCCCGCTGCAGCAAGCTGAGTCACAGTCATACGACCATCAATTTTCTTATTAGGCTCCTTTAATGCTAATATCGCAGCATCAATATGCTTAAAAGTAACAAACCCGTATCCCTTCGACTTGCCGGAGGCCTTATCAGTAATAACAATGGTATTGGCCTCATCGAGTTCGCCGTACGCAGAGAACACCTGGCGGAGCTTCTCAGTGGTAGTCTCCCACCCCAAGCCGCGGACAAAGAGCTTCCGCTGTACAGGATCTGCGTCGGCGACAGTGCGAACAGCTTCAAGGACATCAGGGTGGCGAAGAACAGCCCCACGGAGGATTGGCAGGAGCTGCTCCTTCGTGAAGGGTTCAAGAATTTTCTGGGCATCCTCCGGGGATAAGACGCTGGGCACCGATGGTGCAACGATGGCTATGCTAGCACCAAGATCGATGGGCGCGGAATACGCGACGCCATTCTCTTCGGCCTTGCGTTTCTTTGTGAGATCCATCGGTACAATTAGGGATTACTGGATTAGAGAAAAAACCCTAATATAAAGAAAGCAACGAGTAATGGAAAGGATAAAATTAGAGGCTTGATTTTATTTTTTCCAGAGAAACGCTAAAGAAGGCATACTTTTTTGGGAAAAAAATCATATTTAAGGTGTATTATTTACCTTAATTTAAAAATAAGGTAAATAGTTTAAAAATTCAAAAATCAGGTATGATTTAATTAATTAAAAATATTGATTAAATAAAGATAATAAAGTCACAGTTTGTGATTAATTGTCACATATTCATAATTATAAGTTACAGATTTATTTATTGGTCACATATCGTCAAAATTTTTGTTCACATATTATTTCGAGGTCACAGATCAAAAAATTTTACGTCACGAATTATTTTGAGGTCACAGATTTTTAAATTAGTTGG